GTACTACACTACCTAAAAGAAGAAAATAAAAAAAAATAAAAAATTCTACATGGACTACTTCCCTCAAGAGTACTGTCCACATAGTCCGTCATCAGGAAGAGTCCTCTACAAGTTTTTGTGTTTTTTTTTATATATCTGACTTTGACCCTCAAGAGACCCGTCAACAAGTGTCCGTCGTTGGGCCAAGTCAGCTATTCCTAATATAACACACTCACATATATACAACACACCTAATACTACAGCACACAACATCTATATACATTACATTACACAGTTAGAGCAAGTCTCCCACCCCACACTTAAAATCATGACATGTCCCCATGTCATATTAATAAAGTAAAGAGCAGAAGGGTGAGAAGACTTCCCTGAGACTCAATCCGAGTCGGAGACGGTGCTGGGGTCTACATGGCATACCCTCCCCAATGCGCGTAACCAAGCTATAAACCGGCTCTCAGATCTAGCCTGCCTCTGTGACATGGCGTCCATCCTCGTGTGTAAACCATCCACTGAGGTGCGGAGATCCGCGACCTCTTCCTCTAAGGAGCGCAGCATAGGCCGGGAGGACTGTGAGCGTGATAGGTCTGCTCCAGAATGGGGCCGCCGAGAGGGCCCGGCATGTCAACAGACCTCCTGGATGGTGCAATGGGGAGCGGATCATCCTCCTCATCATCAATCTCAATTGTGGTGCGGGTGCCCCTTCCCACTCTGATGCTAGAAGCTTTGAAAGCTGCTCTGGGAGGCAAATCGCCATCAGCAGAGTTAGTAGGGGTGTTTCTCATCAAGCATAATGTGGTCACCAAGGAAGGGAAATAGAATCCCTTTGTCAGCAGCGGGCCCCGTAAGACCATTTCATCTCCAATTACCCGTGCCGCATAAAAATCCTTTCCTGTCACAAAGCACCAAGTCAACAGTGCCCTATTGAAGTTCACGTCCGTGGTATTGCTAGAAGGCAGGAACCTACTACAGATAACAGTCAACCAACACTTGGCCAGGTGAGTGAAGGAGTTAGAGTTGAGGGTTATTTGGTCACGTATCCATATGGGCTGCCCCCCTGTGCAAAGTACATCCGTCATGACCTCCCATGTCACCCCGGGCCTGTCATGGTAATAGTCGACGTCACTGGTGAACGGAGGCAGCCGCAACACCCGGCGAATTGTTTGAATTTGAGCACTGACCACCATACCTCGAACAATCACCTCCCTACCCAAATTCAAAGGGCAGTTGACATAAAATTCACGAACCAACATCTTGTTAGCTGGTGCAGGGTCAGCAAATATGAACTCCATTTCCCGCCTCCGTATCTCTTCATACATCTCCACTTTTTCGGCTCGGAGGGCTGCCCGATCAATCGGGATTTCATGGATAAAAGTTTTGGTAGCCTTGGCGTTGAAGTCGTCCTCTGCCAGTTCCGATTGGAATCTGGACTCATCATACGCAGGTCGTTGGGATGTGCCTCCAGAGCGCCTGTGCCTTTTGGGAGCCATTGGACCTGCAAATAATCAAACAAACCATCAACATATGCCCTAGCTAGTGCCAATAAGATGGTTACTCAGACTTCACCACCCAATGACACCAAATATATCCCCTTACTTCACTCATAACAACCCCCAAAATAGCTCCATAATTTTCTTACCACTTCCGGCATAATACACCCCACACTTATTCCTTTCAATGTTACCCATGACATACAATACCACCATACAACAAATACCACCCTACAACAAATACCACCATACAACAAATACCACCCTACAACAATCAACTACACATCAACAACCATCAACTACAATATCCCAAACCTAGGTTGGCTTAAACACCCCAAAAATATACAACATAGTGCCACAATTTTCGGCCAACACAGGACCCAGTACCATACTACACAAAAATCTAGTTTAGGCCTCCAACCCACCAAAACAATTTCACAATTATGTAATAATATAGACCCAATTAATTTGGCACCAAACAACCTCATAAACATCAACTACAACAGTTACAACAATTGCAAACATAAAAGAAAGCAAACAAATTCAAACTACTACACTACTCCTACTAGGGTTTAAGCAAAAATAATAATTTAACAAATTACACTACTTAAAAGAGAAAGAAATAGAGAGAGAGAGAGAAGAATAACTTACTTAAGTTGAAGAGGGGAAAGAGGGGAGGTGTGGGAATGGAGGTTTGGGGAAGAAGGGGGTTGATAATGGAGGTTTGGGGAAGAAGAAGAAGAAGAAATTTGGTGAAGAGAGAGAGAAAAAGGAAGGGGATGGGGGTTGGGGCGGAAATAATGAAGGGGAAATAGGAAGGGGGGGGGGGGGTTGTGAGGGTGTAAAAAGGAAAGAAAAAGAAAAAAAAAAAACAGTACTTACCTGGCCGCGTCTGTCTCTGCCGCGGTTCTGCCACGGTCGCGGTAGAACCGCGGCAGTGAGATTCCGCGAGGCCTTTTAACCGCGGTTTCACCGCGGTCGAGGCCCCTCTCTGATTCTAACGCCCAGTTTTTTTTTTTTTTAGGTTACAAAGGTTATAATTACAACAATGTCATGGGTTGCCTCCCACGTAGCTCCTGATTTAACGTCGCGGCACGACTCATGTGAGCAAAATTAAGGTTCACTCGACCTCTGGGGTTCATTCAAATGCAGCTCTGTCATCTTCTTAGGCTCGTTCATGCCCATATACAATTTCACCCGCTGACCATTGACTTTAAATGTACGAGAGTCATCTTCAGTAGCAACTTCCACAGCTCCGGATGGAAATACTTCAACCACGCGAAATGGTCCAGACCACCTTGACTTTAGCTTACCCGGGAATAACCGCAGTCTTGAGTTATAAAGCAGTACCCTGTCCCCAGGTTTGAAATTTCGTTCAATGATGTTCTGATCGTGAAGCCTCTTCATTCTCTCTTTATATAGCCTTGTGCTCTCAAAAGCAAGATACCGGAACTCCTCTAGCTCATGTAATTCCGTGACTCACGACGTGCCCGCAGCTTCCAAGTCTAAATTCAGTTGTTTCAGTGCCCACCAGCTATGTCCATTTATAAGTAGCTCATTATAAAAATTAGCCAATTGATAAAATATTACTAATATTGCCAATTTATCCAATTAGCTATTTGTAGCAAAAAAATATCAAATTTTTGCTTTGTTTTGAGTGGGTGTTATTAGAATAGATTGGGCACAACTTAAGGAGCTTGAATCTCAGTTTTGGGATGATTTGGTGAAGTTTTGAGGTGGTTTGAATTGAAAATTCGAATTAAAAGCTGAACATGAAAAAATGAGATGTGTATCACACTATGTATCATTTGTGTATCACACATGTATCATATTTGTATCAATTGTGTATCACATGTATATCCATGTATACCTGTGTGTGAGATACATGCGTGATATATGTGTCGCAGAAGACTTTTTTGAACTCGATTTAATTACGAATTTTGATACAAAACCAGTCCAAATCACCTCCAATCTTCCTCAAATTTTGTATATTGGCTTATCTATATATTTTCAATGAATTTCAACTATACCCATTGAAAAAGTTCCTTTTTTGTTTAGATTTTTGGAATACTGTATAGATTTTTGTATTTCATCACCTTATTTGCTACCCCGTCCATGAAATTTCCTTTCCGCCTTGTATCTGATGTTGCTAATCACGCTTAAAAATATGGAAGGTGATTTTTGCATGTGATTCTTTGAGAGAAAGAACCCTATTATTTGGTTTTTCAATTTTTGTTTGCTAGTTTTGGTAAGTCTATGACTAATGGCTAGAGGTTGGTAAGTTGAAATTTATTTGGGACATTTGTGTAAGTTTCCCTTTTAAAAAGTGCTTTTTTTTTCAGAATTATTTTTCTCAAAATTACTTTTTTTTTTTTGAGATGCTAACATATTTTCTCAAAATTACTTTTGGTCAAAAGCAATTTATGTTTCACTAATTAATTTAGAAAATACTTCTGAGGCAACTAATGTTTGACCAAACTTTTAAAAACTGATTCTAAGTGTATTTTCTCAAAAGTGTTTCTGGAAAGAAACTACCTTTTTCTATTTCTCCAAAACTGCTTCTGTTTTTTCTCAAAAGCCATTTTTTTTCAAAAGTTTCGCCGAACACTTCTAACTTTGAAAAGAAAAAACACTTTTAGAATTGGAAAAGCTTGGCCAAATAGGTTATTTAACAGTATCTGGACTGTCTCATTGCGTTTTTAACCCAATCTTCGTTTGTGTTTTTGGGGTTCAAAATGTCTTTTTATCACAACAATGGAGAAATATACAAAAGCCTAATTCTTTGGCAAGAGACTTAAAACATAAACTCATTATGAAGCTTAGATCATTATTTGTTTCCGCAGAGCAAATTTAATATAATTTGGATATGCGTCGGTCATCTTGGTGTGTGCGTGTGTGTGTGGGAGGGGGTGGGGGAGGGGGGGCAAAATTACCAAGATTTTTACTGCATACTATTCTTTTTGTAATTTCTTTTCTAAGGATATACAAAATAGTACTCCCTCCGTTTTATTTTATGTATATCACATTGACTTAGCACGTGATTTAAAGAAAAGTAAAAAGAATTTTGAAATGTTAAAGCTAAAGAGTTACTTAGTATAAAAAGAAACATTTTTTTAAATAGATTAAAAAGAAAAGTAAGACGCATAAATTAAAACGGAAGAAGTTATTCCCAATTTTATTATTATTGAAACTGCCAAGCCACCTGCTAGTTTTGGACAAAATTTTTGTCAACAAACATTTTCAGTTTTGTATTTTTCAGTACATTAATTAAGAATATTAGAGTCATGGCTCTATGCACTAGTTAGTATTCAAACCGAATAAACCGAAGTTACCGAACCGAATAAACCGAACCGAAATGAGAAAAACCGAACCATACCGAATTTAATTAGGTACGGTATTGGTATAGGATTTTAAGAAACCGAATACCAAAAATACCGAACCAAAATATCTAAATACCATACCGTACCGACCGACGAACACCCCTACTATACTCCATCCGATCCATAGTAAATGAAGAGCCGTGCAAAAGTCAAGCTTCCAATTCGGACTCAAGCAAGCTCAAAGCAACCATACGACAATTTCCCACTACAACCAAGGGCAGACTTAGATGCAAGGAAGAGGGTTTAATTGAATCCCCTATGTCGGAAAATAATAGAGCGCAAATAGGGTAAAATCCCTTTGTTTGCTTACATATGATTGTTAAATCTCCTTGACAAAAAGAAAATGTTTTGGTATAGAGATAAAGATGGTTCAATGAGGCATTCTTGTATTTCTTTTAAATTCTCTTCTCAGAATTCCCGACTGACCACCACTGTACACAAACCGCTATGACAAAATCATGGCCATTGTAAACTTGTAATTATACACCAAAAGGAACGTAGGACTGCAACAGCAAGGACTCAGCAAGTTACATAGACCTGATTGTCATCATCTGTCAAAGAACTTAGGCAACCTGCAAAACTGTTAAGAACAGAACTACTACACCGATAAATGGACATAAATTCATCACTAAGTACAGATACTAAGAGATCTAGCCACTTGCTGACTTGAGATGGAACAAAAGAGTGGTGAGAAAGAGGGCAGACATAAACGTGAGAGATGACATTGCTATTATTTCATAGAACAAATTCAAATTAAAAGCCTAAGTTAGCATTTTCCAGAAAACTCAATATAAGTAGCTTTCACCTACACCTATCCATTGATTTTCTAGCCCAATCTTCTTCAAGCATATGCTCGCTTCCTATACTGAATGCCCTGAGTGACCCCTCGTGGAACAGAAACCCGTGCACTAGAACAGATTGGGAGAAGGAAAGTATGGAACATGGAAGGCAGAGAGTTGGAGGCTATGTATTACCCCGACCATGGCCGACTTACAACTGAAAGTGACCTTTTTCTCATGTCATTGTTTAGAATAAACATTAGACGCATATTTTCTGCATATACAACAACAAACTCAGTGTAGTCTCACAAGTGGGGAACATATATTCTAACAAATAGCTGTTAATTTTCATTCTTAAACCAAATATACTTCGAGCTATGTGTACGGTCCTTGGTTCCTATCTCTCCTTGACGTTACAAAGTACAGAAACCTTACCACCAGTATTTCCTCTAAGCTGACAAGCATTCTCCTCCGCCTACAGGGACAAGAGAATGGAAGAGAGTGATTTGTTTACCCAGTTAGAAATCTAGTTCCAAAATGCTAACAACTTGTAAATTAATAACCATGACGTTCTGCACCTCTAAATCGACCAACCAAAATATAGTCATTCCAGCACACCAATATCATCAACACATGTTGAAAGAAAATCTGCAACGAACCACAGATATGACTTTGCCATGGGCCTCGCCTCATTTTCAAAACTCTTAGCAAGATTTTTCAGAAAGTGAAGATTATGATGAAACCAACCCATCATGAGTATTCTTGAGTCAAAACCCATCAAAAAGACACTACACAGTAAATCAAGAACCTAGAAACACCAAAATGCTGATGAGAATTATGGTTACCATCATAAAGGGATGTTCATGCATATGATGATATGAAAAGAATAGATCTTCTAATAACGAAATGAATATGATTAGGGTAGTAGAACTTTCCTTACTTCATACCGGGGGTGAGGCGGGGTTGGATTAGGGTTGATCTTAGATGGCTTGCAATTTATGTTGAATACACACTATACTTGTTGTTTATCTTAGCCCCGGGCCTTAGATATTGGTTACTGTTATTGCATGTCATTCATCTTTTGGTTGTTATGCTTCTGTTACTATTACAGTTGAGTTACTAATGAGTTGTCTTTTCTTGTTTTTATTTCCGTCTTTCTGAGCCGAGGGTCTATCGGAAACAGCCTCTCTGCCCTATCGGATAGGGGTAAGGTCTGTGTACACATTACCCTCCCCAGACTCCACTTGGTGGGATTTTACTGGGTAATTGTTGTACTGATGTTACCCAAGAAAATGAAGGTCCTGAGGAGTCTTTTGAGAACCTCCAGCACAGAGGATCCACTGCATCACGAGGCAATATAATGATTAAAAAACATCTCTATAATCAACTAAGGAAAATTATAAGATATTACTTGGCTGATATGGATTACGCATAATCTAACACATGCGCAAGATAGCTACTTAAGTAAATAATTGGAGAAGCAAACTCTGAAATAATCTTCTGGGAAAAAATAACAAACAATATAATGAGAGTGCTACATTTTAAGAGTGATTGCTAACCTTACAGCAGATTAAAAGATGGCGAGATCATTTCACAGAGATCTATTTGCCATGACGTTAGAGGAGACGGAGATCCGAGATCCAATACTTAAGTCAATCAAGTTGCAGTTCTGCAGTAAGTAGTGATATTTATTCATTATTATTACCTTACAAGGAGAAAAAAGCTATGATAAGGTGCTGGGTTTGAACCAAAAATAACAAAGAACTAATAAAGTGACAAACCTAATATTCAGGGAAATAGTTTCCATCTTATCATAGAATCACGGAAATACTTTAAACATCAAATTATATATTTGAAAAGGAAAATTTTTAAAAATCAGTTGATCACCTTTTGTTTGTGCAGGTGAAGGGAAGCGCAGCTACTGTGAGGCCTTGTAAAATAAAATATGGAGAAGTTTTCTTTGTCATAAAACATAAGTTGTTCAATGAACTCTTTCTGCGATCAGAGGAAGTCTAATCTCTTTTTATCTACGGCAGACAAACACCAGCTTCCAATCAATATGGTGCTTTGCTGTTTTTGATTAATGACTTAACGGAACAGTGCATCCAGTGACAGTTTACGCAATGGTATTTAACCAAGAAAAAGACAGAGAGGGGTGAAATAAAATATTTGCAGTTTTCTCAACATAATAGATGCTCTCCAGTTTTATGAAAGACTGCGAACCCAGAAAGGTAAGAAAGATGTTTTGGAAACAAGTGCCGTCACAATAAGGAGGAAAAATAAATCTCATTATGTTGAGACTGTTATAGTTGAATGTAACTGCTATTATTTCTCCCTCTCACTCTTCCTCATGTGACTTTTTCCTTTTTTTTTTTTTGATAAAGTAATCCTTTAGACACTGCGATCCAAGCTTAACCAGGCTAATGTAAGAGATTTATAACAATCTCTTCTGAAGTATTTGCTCACCTCCCCTGGTTTACGCATTAGTGTCTTAAGGAGAAATTATACCTCATGCTCAATAGTAAACGAGAATCACCCTAGTTAAGACATGCATTCAGATCATTGATGTTCCAAACAGCAAAAGGGTTATCACTTTTCTGTTATCAAACCAAAATGGATTACATGACTTCGGAATGATAATGTCCTCAATCACCAGTTTCATCAATGAATGTTGGCACAATAGCAGCCAGAATTACAATTAAAACTAACAGTACTCATAAACCAAGAAATCCTTGTATGAGAAAACAATAAACTTACTATCTTAGTTTCGACCTTTGATGTAAAAATCATACACCTCAGGCATCTCATCCCTTAAGGGCATGACATAATTTTCTAAAAACTCCGACTCAGAACACTTGATAACCGTATAAAAACACGGCACTTTCTTTATCAGTTGCTTCTCCTTTAGAAGTTTCAAGATTTTATTCCTTGGCAAGACCCGTTTCTCAAAACTGAACATTAAGAGAGTGGGATGAGAAGCTATGTAACTAGTTTCGTACCCAAGCTCCTCCACGTAAAATTTCAATATATTTCTAAGCTTAACCTCGGACGTAGTCAAACATAAAGGAAGCCTTTGCACCATCGTAATAATATCAGAATCAGACCAGCCAAAACTCCTGAAAATTCCAAGTTTCATTTCCAAATTCGACTTACTAAGCGACGAAAGCATTTCCACTCCATAGAAAAACATCCGAGAATCCCTACGAATGCAAAAATCTTTTTCCACTCTTTGCACAATATCCTCAAGCCATTCAGTTTTTTGCACAAAAATTCTCGGATTCCTAAGAATAAGCTTTTGAATATCCAAAGTCGAACATCCAAGATTTTGCAGGAATGATATATTAGGTGACATTACTCTCTGGAGAGGATAGCTAAGCAATCCAGGAGTTCTCTTAATAGCCTTAGCTACAGAATCATCAGTTCCCAATAATTTCCTAAGATATTCAATACTTGGTCTAATGCCTGTATTCAAGCCTGTTCTGAGAAAAGCCCCACTTCTTGAAAGGACCTTAACTAAGTGGGGCCCAGAAAAGCCAAGTTCTTGAAAAACCTTAATTTTGGGTTTAAGGGTTTTGTCCACGTCAGCAAACAACAACCTAGGTGCAGGAGAGACCAACAGTTTGATCTGGGCATTGTCTAAACCGATTTGTTTGAAGTAATTAACAACTAATTCAGGTTTGTGGTTATTTCTGGGTTTCAAACAAGTTACCTTGGAGCTAGCAGAAATAGCTTTTTCTGTGGAGAAGCCAAGTGAATTCACCAGAAATTCTGACAGTAAGTTGGGCTCTGCATTTGCTGTAGTTGTTGTGGAACAAAAGAGCTTAAGTCTGATGCAATACAATTGCCTTGTTGCGCCATTGTTACCAATTCCAAACATCTGAATAAAAGCGCTGTTCAGTTTCGGTTTTTGGAAATGCAATTTACCGTTTACTCCACTGAAATGGAAGAAAATGAAAACCCTAATCCTATTTTAGCGAATCCGACGGGAAGGGGAAGTGCCTCATTTTTTTTTTTTTTAAAAAAGATTAAGAATACACATTTGAATATCAACATGTGTATTAAGATTAAGACATCTGAATCTGAATACACATCTGAATATATTAAGATGTGTATTAAGATCTGAATACTAAAAGTTAAGACTGTTTGGTTTTTAACATCTGAATGCATAAAATGTATCTTTATTTGAAAAATAATAAATATAAAATTCAAATGAAATACTAACTAATCTAATATTATATCAATAAAATATATAATTTTTTTAATTATGATAGTCGTTGGTGGTGATGGCTAACGGGTGAATACCGACCAAAGGCGGTGACTGGTGGTAGTTTTGGTTGATGATAGTGGTTCATGCTAGTAGTTAGTAGTGATTGGTAGTGGTGGCGATTATGATTGAGGATGGTGGTGGTAGGTAATGATAGTTAATAATGGCGGGTGGTGGTTTGTGATTGAGGAAGGTGGTGGTAGGTTATAATGATGGGCGGTGCCGGCTGTGGTTGTTAATGGTGATGAGGTGGTTGGTTGTGGTAGTTGAGGTGGATAACTGTTGACTGTGGGTGAAAATGATGCTGGTCGGAGTAGTAGCGATGGTGGATGGTGATGGTCGATAATGGTGGCAGCTATGATTGAGGATGATGGTGGCGTGGTGGTGGTGGTTGAGTATGGTGGTGGTGGTGGTTGAGTATAGTGGTGGTGGTGGCATGGTGGTAGTTGATAATGGTAGGTGATGTCGGTAGTTAATAATGAATATGTGATAGCATCTTAATGAAATTAAGTCTCTGTTATAGATCTTAATCATACAGATCTATTCAGATCCTGGTTGTGAAATAAAAAAAAAAAAAACAAACACACTTAATGATTAAGATCTGAATAATTAAGATTCAGACTTAAAAAACAAACGCACTTAATGTGTGAGATCTAAATGATTAAGATTCAGACCTCCATTAAGTGCAAACAAATGAGGGGGTTCATGGTTTAGAGCCCGTTTGGATTAGCTGACTTGAAATAGCCGATAAGCATTAGGTGCTGAAAAGCAGTTAAAATTGCTGAAACTGATTTAATAAATAAGCAGTTAGGTATTTGGGTACAAGTGCTGAAATTGATAATAAATTGTTGCAGTATTTGACAAAAAAGTGCTGGTAAGCTCTTTTTCTGTTAAAATGACTTAAATAACCTTAGAACTGTTTACACTTATAAGGGCGTAATTTCTTCAAAATTTTAGATTCTAGATCGATTCAAATACAAAATATTTTATTTGTCATTTTATTTTAAATACAAGTGTGCTTAGATAAGATAATTTTTCTGATAAATATAATTTATTTTATGATAAGCATAAAATCATAAGTTATAATAATTAATAAATTGACAAAAGTTTCTCAGTAAAAAAATAAACCTAAATAGGACAAAATATTTGAAGAGAAACAAACATTGTCTTCATCACCACAACACTTAGAAAGCAGAACACCAAAAATTTGATATGTCCTCGTTTATTAAATACAGTTCAAAGATTAATACATAATTACATAGATATAAATATGCAAAGGAATGGAGAATTTGTTTATCTTAAATAGTCAATAAGAATTACAGACTTGAAGAGGGGAAGGGAGAGGGGGGGTTTAGGTTGAATACCTGAGGCAGTGAGTATCGATGCAAGAGTTTTGTTCTAAAAAAGAATATTTTAAGGATAAAATAGTAAAAATCTTGGTCAACTTAAAATGCTTATAAGCTAAAAATTTATAAGCTAGGGAGACCAGCTTATGACTTTTGGCTTATTTTTGACTTATAAGCACTTTTAACTTTACCAAACGCGTAGATAAAACAAAAAATACTTATAAGCTTAGCAAAATCACCTTGTTACTATTGTTTTGGTCAAAGGATCGTGTCCTTAAAGTGGATTTAAGTGGTCTAGTTGGCATCTGGTGTGGCATGCCAACTTAGCATTTTAGCTGACATGGCGAGCCACATTAGCTTGGCAGTGTGAATTCCTAGACGTATTTGGTTTTGAGTTAATTGAAATTTAGTTTAAATGATTTTCAAGTGATAAACATAAGACTAGTTACCCGCCGAGTTGGTTGAGCAGGTGACTTACCAAATGGGATGTCCAGTGTTTGAAACTCACTTGCATACCTCCTCAATCGAGTCCGTTGCACGGAGTTTACCTAACGCGGTTTACTTTTCTTTTCATTCCATGTATAGTTTGCGAGCTATTATATAGGAGCTAAGTTTATTCTGTATGTACTCAAAGAGTAACGGTTGCAGGTTCTTTGTTAACAAAAAGAAAAAAAAAAAAACAACTAGTGAGTTTTGTGTTGTGAATAGGGTTGTGCATGGATCGGATCGAATCGGATTTAATATTTCGGATTTCGGATTCTAGAAAATCCGATTCGAATTATATCGGATCGGATTGGATTTTAAAGCTTGGATCAGGTCGAATTTCGGATCGTATTATTATGCCTCAAAGTTAAACTAATATGTATATTTTCTTTGTAAAAGAGGCAATACATTAAGAAAAATTCATGTTTATGCAATTATGAGAGTACTATGGTGCCATATAGCTAAATCCAGCAATTGTAAAGGTTATAACTTGGAGGCTGATGTAAAGGAAGTATTGACTATCCGAAATTAAAATGTAGTATTTATACATGCCCTAATAATTTCTTATTTCGGATCGGATCGGATTAAAATATATCGATCCGAAATCCAAAATTTTAATAAACACAATCCGAAATCCGATCCAATCCGAAATCCGAAATTGAATGGATTGGTTCGGATTTTGGATATCCGATCCGAATGAACCGCCCTAGTTGTGAACATCCACTTGGATGAAATAGCAAGTTGCTTGCCTTGGCATCACATTTTGGGGTAAACTTTATGATATCATATATTCATGCTTAATGGTTATATCAAACTAAGTAATTCAACTTTAATAGTTAAAAAGTAAGATGAAAATAAGTTGTATTAATTATAATTGAGTGATAAATAATGTGTATGACAGTCACATATCTTAGATTCATTTGAGTTTTTGTACATACCGTGTAACCCTCAAGTTTTTACCGCTCGTGAACCTACTTGCTACTTGGAGTTTTGGCATTGAAGTCACTTGAATAAATCCAAATTTTGGAGACATAGTTCTCATGGAATTTCTAATTGACATTTGAAAAGAAATCACCACGCATATTTTAGCCATGAATATATTTATCATTTATATTATTCCTTGTGTTAAAACGCAATATTGACATTATATCAAAGCTCATCATCGCTAAAAACTACTAGTACGAGATATGAAAGCAGAATGTCAATTTAATGGCAAACAAATACAATAAATAATCGTCATTACTTCATATATCATACTTGTATATTTTAAGAAAAATATATAAGTTGCACCCTAAACTTATCCGAAAAAGTTATTTATACACTTCAACTTTACGAGTGACCTATCAACCCCTATTCTTGTTTTGAAGCGGAACAAATACCCTCAAAATGCAAAATCAAACTTTTTTTTCATTCCTCAACACCAGTACCCTGTTTTTCTTTTTCCCCAAAAAATTACTCCTAGGAATTTACTTTTCCAAAGAGTTGGAATTTTCCAAAGGGAGAACCCAAAGTGCATTTACAAAGTGAAAAAAAATCAAAAGACAGGGTTGCACAAGTGAGAACATTAAAGGAGATCTGACGCGAATCCAAAATTTGAAGTTTATAGGTTCCTACAAGGATTTCAAGTTAATAACTAGGCTCACAGTCAAATATTTATAGAGTTCAATGAATTTTTTATACATATACGAGATCTAGGAAAAAGCTATTGGGTTCTCGGGAACCCGCATCTTAGCTTCTAGATCTGCCATTGCTAAACATGGTATTTACTAGACAAATGACAGAAGAAGTAGCAGAGCAAACACCAAAGAATTCAGTAACCTGAGCAGATGTCGCCTCATAATTGAAACTACTTTCATCCATGCCTTTGAATTTCACCTTTCAGGCAAAAGAAATGAAGAATCTCTAGAAATCAAACAATTGCACCAGATTTTCTAGGAGCATCTTGCCTTTTTGTGTATCATTTGAATAGGAATTTCCTTTTAACTTTTCAACTAAAATGAATGAGTTAAAGAAAGTTTCTGTTACAACCATACATAAAAGGCAAGATAAGATGCCTTGGTGAATGTACAAAATGTGCAAACTATACATAAGAGCAACAACAACAACAACAACAACAACAACAACCCAGTATAATCCCACTAGTTGGGTCTGGGGAGGGTAGTGTGTACGCAAACCTTACCCCTATCCTGGGGTAGAGAGGCCGTCTCCAATAGACCCTCGGCATCCCTCCCTCCAAGAACTCCCCACCTTGCTCTTGGGGCGACTCGAACTCACAACCTCTTGGTTGGAATAAGAGCAAGGGCATTAATTAATGAAGAGTGAATTTTAAGGCTACTTGATCAATCTACCGGTTTTGAGCAGTATTACATTTGTGCACGTACTATCTCCGTCTCATAGAGAAGGGAACATGAAGCAAATAACAGAAGAAGAATACATTTACACTATCAATCGCAAGATAAGAAAATTCAAATAGAAACGGTCAGAACAAAAATAGCAGTAGATGTCAATCATACAGGGTTTTGTGCTAATTATAGTACTAAAACCAATGAAACCATAACAAGTTGGACAAGGGCTAAGATACACCTCAATCTTGACTAAAGGAAATAGCATTATGTCTTTACAAGAATGAACTACATAGCATCTGATGACAAAGTCAGGAACGGGTTTAGCATCTTTACTCCAACTGTACGATTTCTTTCCAATCAGTTATAACGGAAAAAGGGAGTTACGTAAATTGATTAGCATTGCTTTGAAAAAGGTGTTGCAGCAGAGTGTTTTAACATTATTTGAAAGAGCCTTTCTATAATATAATAATGTTGTTGCTTATCCTCTCGTCGGAAATGCAGTAAAATAATCTAAGGAAGCTTGCTGATAAATAGCTCATCAACAAAGGAATATAATAGCAGCAATATTCTTGAAGGAGCTTGAAGATGAAAAAACAATGTCATCGGAAAAGTGGATAAACCTCAGAAACAAACAATGGTCTAGTGCCAGCATCTCAACAAAAAGAATTTTCTCTTAGCCCTTACTCTTCATATATAACTCATACAACTCAGGCAACTCATACCTGAACGGCAACACATAGTTCTCTATAAACTTTGATTCCGGATATGACACGACAGTGTAAAGACATAGCCTCCTCCTTAAAAGTCGCTTCTCCTTGAGAAGTTTGAAGATTTCATTCCTTGGCAAGACCCTTTTCTCCAAACTGAACTTCAAAAGTATAGGGTGACTGGCGATATAAGTAGACTTGTATCCAAGTTCATTCATGAAAAACTTCAATCCATTTCTAAGCTTAGCCTCAGACGCGGTCAAACAGTAAGGAAGCTTTTGCACCATTGTGAGAATATCAGAGTCCGACCATCCAAAACTCCTGAAAATCTCTAGTTTCATCTTTAGTGTAGACTCACCAAAATTTACAATAGCTTCAATTCCATGTTTAAACATAGGGGACCCTCTAGGAATGCCAAAATCCTTTTCCACTCGACGCACTACGCTCTCAAGCCACTCAGTCTTTTGAACCATACCCAACGGATGATTAAGAAAAAACTTGTTAATATCTATTCTTGAAAATCCTACTCTCTCTAACAACAATATATTGGGTGGCATTATTTTAGGGAGATTCCGAGAAAATAACCAAGGTGCTCTTTTTATAACCACAGCTACGGAATCAACATCACTACCTAATAATTCTCGAAGATAATCAAGATTTCTAATACAAGTATCATGACTTGTATGAAACAAAGCACCACTTTTTGTAATTACTCTAGTTAAATTCGACCCAGATAAGCCAACTTCTTGAAGAACCTTAATTTTAGGTTTAAGGGTATTATCAACATCAGAAAATAGCAATCCAGGGTATGCAGAAACAAGGGTTTTAATCTGGGTTTTGTGTAAACCAATTTGTTTGAAGAAATTGAGGACTAAATTAGGCTTATTGTTTCCGGGTTTCAAGCAAGTTACCTTAGTGCTAGTAGAAATAGCTTTTTCTTTGGAGAATCCAACCGAGTTAACTAGCAAATCAACCAATAAATTGCTGCTGTTTGTAACATTTGCTGGAGCTGTGGAGTAGTAAAAGAGCTGAAATTTGGTGCAATTTATGGAAAGGAGATGCCTTTTTGCGCCATTGTTACTAAGTCGAAATATCAGAGCAAGGCACATTTCTGGTAATAATCCCTCAGTTTTGATTTTGTTCAGTAAAATTTAGGGATTTGTAAGAATTGGGGAAATTGAAAGTTGAGATTTGTGAGGGAAATGAGGCAAATGTACTTTTTAAGAATATATATATTATTTAGCTCCAATTCTAGAAGCATTTTTTTTTTTGAAGTGTTTGGGCAAGCTTTTGCAAAAAAAATTGATTTTGAGGAGAAGCAGAAATCGTTTTGGAGAAGCAAAAAAAAGTATCTCTCCAAAATACTTTTTTGAAAAGCACTTTTGAGAAAAATACACTTAGAAGCAGTTTTTAAAAGTTTGGTCAAACACGAATTGCTGCTTAGAAGTGCTTTTCAAATTAATTAGCCAAACACAAACTGCTTCTCACCAAAAATACTTTTGAGAAAAAAAACACATTCTCAAAATAAGCTGATTTTTGCAGCTTGGCCAAAAAGGCTATAAATGCTTGTATCAATGAGGAATTTTACATTATTGGTAGAGATTTTTACTTTAATGAGGAATTTTACATTATTAGCAGAGGTTATGTTCCTTTTGTTGGCTATACTAACATTTTGACCACTTTCTTTAAATAAAGTTTTTACTAAAATTTATGAGGAATTTTATATTATTAGGTTATTTTTAAATTATGTGATTTATTGTTACAAACGAGGTAAACCACAACGAAATACTTGGGCCTCGGAATGAGCTACGCATGAGTCACAATATGAAGCAGTCCAACAAGAGGTTATTGAGCTACAATTGGAATCCAGGTTGAGGTAATATTATAATAAGTGCATAATGTTGTATATCGGGTGTACAAATATTGTTGCAAAAAATTAATAGGTTATGCTACTATAAAATTAAAAATAGAAACAATATAATGTGTTGAGATGTATTTTTGTTTAAATCTCTCTGGCAGCTTGTTTAAATGGTTGTTATGTATCGCTTCGTAACGTATCATATCGTATTATATTGTACTGTATTATTTTTCGATAAATTATATTGTTTGTCCTTATTTTGTGATATCGTATACCAACAAGATGAAGAATAAATTTATAATATTACAAAAAAGTAAAGAACAAAATATAATTATTTATATAAGAAGGCTGGATATAGGATAAAATAAAATTATTTAATAATAAGAACGGACAAGATAAGTAAAAAATAAAATAATGACGAGACATACGTAAAGCACTTTTCTTTATATAATAAAGAATTTAATTATATGATGCAGTCAAATTTAACTAACAATCAAAAGAAAAAGGAAAACGCTGTTCTTTCATCCCGCGATCACAAATAGCAGGTCATTTTCAAAGCAATTAGAGGATTTAGGGTTTAAACTTTGGTTGTTAATGTGTGGATTTCTCAACAATGGCGTTAAGCATCTCCTTCATATTTATAGCTTCAGATTTCAAACCTTGTACTCAACATCTACTGCAACTTCCCGCACCAACTTCTTAGTAGAAACGCTGGTGAACTAGTTGGCTTCTCCCCAGAAGAAGCCCTTTCTACCAGTGCCAAGGTAAGTCGCTTGAGACCTAGAAAATATAACCCTAATTCAGTGCTCAATTTCTTGGAACAAGTCGGTTTAGACAAGACCCATATCAAAAAAGTTGTTTATTCAGTCCCCGCATTGCTGCTTTGTGATGTAGATAAATACCTTAAGCCCAAAATTGAAACTCTTAAAGAAGTTGGGTTTTGTTCGGATGACCTTGTCAAAATCATCACAAACAGTGGATGTTACTTCAGAACTAGGGTAGGGTGTGCTATCAAACAAAATGTTGATTATCTTCACACACTATTATTTAATGATGATTTTGTTGCTAAGATCATTAAGAAACATCCTAATGTGTTCTTTAGTTATGCATTTCATGAAGTAATGCCGCCCAATATATCATTGCTGCAAAATCTTGGGTTTTCAAGTGTCGATATAGAGAAGCTCATGCTTTGGAATCCTAGAATTTTGACTCAAAAGGCTGAGCGCCTCAAAGACATAGTGGATCGAGTAGAAAAGACTTTCTTTCTTTCTCGGAATTGCAACATGTTCATACACGGGATTTGTGCACTTGCATGGCTTGACGAGTCGACGGTGAATAAGAGATTAGAAATCTTCAGGAGCTTCGGGTGGTCTGACTCGGATATTTTTACATTGGTCCAAAAACTTCCTCACTGTTTGACAAGATCCGAAGCTAAGATCAGAAATACGTTAAACTTTCTAGTGAAGGAGCTTGGATATGAGTCTTGTTACTTGGCTTCTCACCCTGCATTTTTTACGTATAGTTTGGAGAGAAGGATTCTACCTAGATATGAAATTTTGAAGCTACTCAATGAGAAGGAGCTGATAAAGTGTGGGCAGAACCTTTATAATTTTGTTGCCTTGCGTGAGTCAAAGTTCTTAAAGTGTTATGTGCTGCCTTTCAAGGATGAGATGCCTGAGGTCTATGATGTTTACATAAAATATAGGAGTTGAGAAAATTACTTTTTGACTGAGCTGCAGGCAGACTGTAGAGAATGTTCGTCAACATTTCAACTTTCTTAGTAATGCAGAACTTTATTGCTACTCACATCTCATTGCTGTGTATTATCCTTTTTAAAATCATGATAATTTCGGGTATATGGATAAGAAAAATAGTGGGAATTTCTCATGTTTTCCTTGTTCTACACTGTCAATTATATGCGTCCATATCTTAATGAAGACAATATGCTTTTTCTTTTCTTCTTTGTTGGTAGACTCATTTGATAGTAGTAGTCCTGTATTGCAACTAACTTTAAGCTTCTCTATGAGTTTGTTGGTGTTTCTTTGACTAGAGGGAGGTGGACTGAGGTCTTCACTTGTTCAATATACGAGGGAGAGTATTTTCTCTCAATTTGGTCTACTCTATTATTCAAATAAATAAAGAAGTTGACCTTTGGATTGCAGTTTTGAAACAAATTCATCCGAATTGGCTGTTTTATGGCGAGACACAAAAATATGAGACGAAACAAGCTGAAAGAAAAGAAGGAAAAAGTACTCCACCATTGCTAGGCCAATTACGTCACAAATACAAAACACATATCATATCTTTTCTTGAAATCATAATTTGTACGAGAATGTGGCATTGATCACTTTTAGTATTCTTTTAAAAAAAATAGCCTCTTACTGATATAGCTGTCCTCAATGAATGTACAGGTTAAGAGAGAACCTTTAGTGTTTCATCAAAGAGAGCAGTGCAAAACTTCACTGTTTGAATGGGGTAGATACCAGCTAGCTTGTCCCGTAGCTAACATAGAAAGAAAAATAAATTGTGTGTTAATTCAAGTCATTTGATTTTCTTATCGGATTCTAGGTACTTTTACACTCTAAAAAGAGCTGTTGTTGCTTATTGCTGTGTAGTCTGTGTTCAAGATCAAGTTATCCTTTGGTAGTTGCTTTTCTGACTCATTGTTTTTCGGTATGACAGTTGGTAGTACCATAAGGCAAAAACCAAATGTCTAACATTTGTTGCTGTATCTTCCTTACCCTTCACCCTTCAAATTTCTAGTACTGTTTTCCGTCGTCAGCTATGTTGCCCAAACTCTTCAAAACTGTCGGTGGGTTCGTGTTGGATCCTCTAAAAGTAGTGAATTTTTGAAGGATCCGACACGGTCCACGCAACATAGCTCATAAGGTACTAGACTTAGTGACTGACACTGGTTACTGCAGAACACTGGTTACTGCAGAACAGTAACCAAATTGATTTTGTTGTAGTAGTTACACCTTGCTTTGCTCTTATCTGCTTGTATTTGAAGTATTACCTAAGTAATGAGGTATTGATCACATCATTCTCCTTGGAAAATTCCAAAAAGCTATTTTGTGTGCATCTTGACTAATTCACTGGTTATCCTATCTAGCTCACAAGCACAGGTTACCAAGGTATCCTGCCTACCAAGATTGGAGCAAATGGGCTACTGGTTGGAGCAAATGCCCATCTAAGAATTCCCTTTCTAAAAAGAGAATTAGTATATCAATTGTATATAATCCTTTTTGAATTGCTACTGGTTGCCGTAATAGTAGATAAAAAGTTGGTGTTAACTTCATTGAAATGATAGCTTACTTGTTCTCTTTAATTACTCTATATTCTGAAAGGAGTATCATCATTTGCCAAAAAGCACTTTATCTTTACTAAAGTTGTGACATCGCAAACGACTACTCCTGTTGGAGAGAGCAGAATAGTTCTCATTCTTATTGCTACTTGTAGTAAAATAAGGTTCTTTTTTGAGGCATATCCATTAAACTGGCGCTATTCCGGTATGTCTAGTTCAAAAGGGTATTAGGATCCGGCAAACTTATAACGCCTGTAATTGAAGAAATAGGACCATTTTGAGAGGATATGTATGTATAGTCCCATAAAGAAATGAAGCAACGAATAGTTTGCGTGGAAAGAGTTTGAAATGAATTTGGAGAGGAAATGAGAAAGTAAGAAAGAGACTGATGGGAGTGTTGGTGTGACAAATCCATCACCAGTCTATGATGTTTTGGTGGCATCACGTATTTCTTCTCCATGTACTACTCAGCAGCTGATGTAGAGAAAATCCTTGAACCCAAAACTAAGCTTCTTCAGGAACTTGGCTTATCTGGTTCTGACATAGCTAAAGTCATCCCAAAAAGTGTGTGTTTCCTGCATTCAAGTCTTGATTACTCTAGCAGACTCAATCTTGATTGTTTCGGAAACTGTTAGGTAGTGAGGATTCTGTAGCTAAGGCCATTAAGAAAGGCCTTAGAATCCTTTGGCACAATGCCCCTATAGTAATGTCACTCAATATAGCATTCCTGCGAAATTTTGAATTTTCAGGTAAAGATATTGAAAAAGCGTATTGTACGAGATCCAACGCTCCTTTGTCAAAAGATGGGGTGGCTTGAGAATACAGTGCATCGAGTTGAAAATAATTTACACATTCCTCGGGACTCCAACATGTTTTCTATGGATTTATAGTTAGTGCATCTGTTGGGGAATCACATTTGGAGATGAAACTACTAACCAGCAGTATTC